AATAATCAATCATCATATCAATGAATCCGATAGCTTTAGCAGCACGACTTCTTAATGGTCCTGTTAAAACATATTTAATTAATTAATTAATTAATTAATTAATTAACAACAATATATCACATTAAAAGGGCAAAAGTGTAATCTGTAATTACCTGCAGATATAGTGTTCACTCTGACTCTATGTTTTCTTCCAGCTTCAAAAGCAAGTACCTGAAAATAAAGTGATGACCAATCACAGTTAATGGAATTTTATAAAAAAAAAACACCATCATTATTATAAAAATTAAAAATAAAATAAAATAAATTATTAACCTTTGTGTCACTCTCTAAAGCAGCCTTGGCTGAACTCATACCTCCACCATATCTGCATGATAAAAAAAAATACAATTATAAAATGTTCTCTGAACGGATAAATGATGTTAAAATATTTAAGGAAAAACAAAATAAGGGCGAATTTGTAAATAATTGCCTAGTTCTTTTTGTATTAAGTAAAAAAGAAACAAAGATGTTAGTTACCCTGGTATGATTCTTTCAGATGCAATGTAGGTTAAAGAAATTGAAGCACCCCCTGTTTACATAAATGTAAGAAATATTAACTTTTTTATTTATATTTGTAGTTTGGAGAATAAAAAAAATAAAAAATAAATACCTGGGTTCATTATTGGGATAAAATGCTGGAGCAAAGATACATAAGAGTAGCTGGATGCTGAGATAGCTGCAAGATACCCATACCTTGATGTTTCCAATAGTGGTTTGCTAACCTGTTTGTTAATTGTTTAATTACCAAAATACCCTCAAACAAGAAAGAACAACTAAATGGAGAAAGTCAGGGCAAATCCAAACTTTCTACAAATTTGCCCTCATTTATTTTTTTTCCATCATTTTCTCACACGTTTAATAAAAAGAATTATCTATGTATTACTCATTATATTACATGTAAATAGAATGTTTAATTTTAACTCTACTTTGTACATTAACTAATTTTGAACTTTACAAAAAAAAAAAAAAAAAAAAAAAAAAAAACAATAAGATTATATTAGAAAATACCTCGGGTCCATTAGCTAGTGAATGCACAAGAATATCAATGGTGCCAAAGTCCTCTTTTACAGATTCAGCAACTTCCTGAATAACATAAATACCAAATCCAATTATTCAACAAGTTTTAACAAAAAGACGTAAATACCCTCCTCATCCTCATCATAGATAATAGGAGAATTCATACCTTAACAGTCCATTTTGAGGATCCAGCATAACGTTTATTTGCTTTTACCTGCACAATTTAGCATTATTATAAAATATAAATAGATAAATATATAAATATATGATATGATGCTTATAATATTATCTTGAAAATTAAACATACATCTTCAGGAACATCTTCAGGGCAATCATAAACTGCATCTAAGGGATAAACTTTAGTAATTTCCATCAAAGATCCATCTGGCAACCTTAAAAAAAAAAAAAAAAACACTTACTAGTTAGTTATGAAATCAGAGTCTTGTTTTAGACATTTTTTTGTTATAAATGCAAAGAAATAGCAATAAACTTTTGTTGATTTGTTTATTAAAGCATCTTACTTTCATTTCTTCCTATTACAACAGTTGTACTTTGAAAATCTTACTAATTTTAGCAATTCATACAAAGCAATTTTCACTGCTAAAATGGGGTAGATTTTTTAAAGTACAATGCTAGCTATAATTGGATATTTTTCAACCTTATTATTAATAACAGAAAAATTGAAAAGACCAATGGTGTAATGGAAGGAAAAATAAATGAGGGCAAATTTGTAGATTTAGGCTTAAAGGGGAAAGCCTCATTTCCCTAATTTTCTCTCTGTTAAAGTCATTCTTTCTGTATTAAGTCTAAGAAAAAAAAAAAAAAAACTTATAGTTATATTTACTTAAAATAATTAGTAGAAAGTAGACACTTACACACGTGATTCATCAAACTTTCCCCTTCGAAGACTTGTCTCAAATATATTGAGTGCCTACAACAAATGAACATTCATCAACAACAATTTAAAACATTTTTTTTTCTTATTTGAAAAAGATTACAAAATCATAGAAATGAAATTTGCTTTGTATTTAGATCAATGAAAGTAGGATGCTATAACTTGTGTTGTAAAACTATAACAGGAAGAAATGAAAGTAGGATGCTTTCAATTACAATAAACAAAATCAATGAAAGTACATTGTTATTTCTTGCATTTAACCAATTTTTATAAATTCTTACCGGGACCCACGTGCCAACAAGGATTTCAGCTCCAGCAGCAGCTAGAGATTTTGCTATTGCCCATCCATATCCATTATCATCAGCTATTCCAGCAATGAATGCCCTTTTTCCTGCAAATAATTTCATAAAATCAATCATGTTTCATTGAATAAGATTTTCTATATTTATAACTATAGCAATTTCAGCTACAAATCATGAAGATTTGATCACTTGAAAAGTAAAACAAGGAATAAATTGTGAGGAATAGCAATGGATTATTACAAAATATATAAAATTGGAAGTATAATGATTTAATAGAAAGAAATGAAAGTAGGATGCTATAATAAACAAATAAAAGACAAAAAGATTGGAAATTTAACCTCTGAGGTCGACAGGTAATCCAGGGAGGGGTTTTGTGTCATTTGACTCGGACATTGCTTTTGTGACAATTCGATTAAATTTCAGGGTGTTGGGTGTAATATTCTGAGATATTACATGTGTTGAAGAGATGTGACAAGAGCTCTTAAGCTTCATCCATGGCGCCTCTTTAATTCCACTGCTGAAAACTGCAACACTTGGCTTTGAAACTTCACATGAAGCAAAAGTGAAGGGTTTTGCTATAGCAACATGCATGTTTGAAGTAGCAGTTGCCATTTCACTATATGTTGAATATCAAAAACTGCAGTCATGAAAGTAAATGAATTGTTATATGAGCATCTGGAGGTGTTAAAGAAGGGTAACATGGTCATTTACTTTTATTCAGATGGTTCATTTGGTCCAAGAAAGAATTTTGTATAAAATTTTCAAACTATAATGTTGGAATAGGAAGAAATGAAGGTAAGTTGATATTTCTTGGATCTAATATGATCAAACTTGATATCTTTGAAATCTTCTATAGTTTCTCAAGATCACAAAAAGGAATAAGCTTTTGGGCAACTATGGCCAAAAGACCATGGATTCAAGTCTCGAAAACATCATTTTTGCAAGATATTCGTTACATAAACTTGAAAAAACTCATTTTAGTTTTCTGTTTGAAAACGACAGTGAGCTGCTTTGATTCACCAAAAGATCATAAATTTCATTTCAGAGTGGTGCATTTAGTCCGAACTTGAACAAAATCATTTTAGCTTTGAATTCGAAGAAAACAACTTGATATCATGAACAAAAACCGATACAAATCAGCAACGTTTAGTTAAACCCTTAAACCCACAACGATAAACCTGAACTTAGATCAAGGTAACAATTAAAATCGCATAGTTATGAAAGCAAAACCACGATCAAATGCAATGCACCAAATCGGAAGGACAATTCACGAATAGAAACAAGGGTCGAGTGTCACTGACCTATCTGATCTGCAAAAACCTTGAACAATCAATCTTTCGAGTTCCTACTCACGCCTTGGTTGGTTATATATGGTAATAAGGCTTCGATAATAACTAAGCTGAATTATATCGCTGTCTTTGTGTGTGCCGTTGGAGAGCTTTGGAAGTTCCGAAAACAGGTCAGCAACCTTGGGAATTTATGTAAGAACCTTCAAAATTGGGCTTTAGGCCACTAGTTGCCCAATGGGTCTCAACTCTCAACTCTCAAAGGGCTGCAAAATCCTGTTATAGCTTCTACTTTTGGTGTTCTAGATACATTTCAGCCTTAAAGATTATACCCCATTAATGTAACATAATTATCAGCTTGAAAAATGGGATTTCGGCCTAACCTATACCAAAATAGATCCTATCAAGTTGTGGTTATATATATTATGGGACAAAATACAAAAAAAACCAAGATATTTTTGGTCTGTTATTTTGTTATATGTTTTTCCTTTTGTGAAATAATTGTCAATATCATAAATTTGACATTTTTGTTGGTCGATATAGAATTCTAGATATGTGGTTTACTGCCACATAAAAAATTCAACTACTTTGGGTTGGTTATCGAAAAAGTCATCTTCCTTTTTTTTAAAATCCCATTTTATGGATCAATTTGAATTGATCAAGAAGATGTAAAGCTCTCTCTTTATTATGTGAGAAGATTAGCTTGCATGCTACTTAGGTGTTGTTTGTTTTTCCGAATCCAAAATGTTTGCAGTCTGCAGACCACATCTGCAAGTCTCTGCAACAAAAGAGGTGGACCAAACGTCTGCACTCTGCAATAAAAAGTCTTTTGTTTTTTAACGTCTGCAAACTGCTGAAATAAACTGAATTTTAAAAAACCAAATTTACAACATTTTATTTGAGTTTTACAACATCTAATAATTATATTTTTCATCATAATAGATAAATAAATGCTACAATATACGAATCATATATAATCAATATTTATAATAGATAACAATAAATAACTACAACAGACCAAATCATATGCTATCAATATTTTTACAATGATAGAACTTTAAAAATCCATCGTCTTGATCTTATTTCTTCTCTGAGATGCAACTACAACATCTAGCACAATATGGTCATTTATTTGATTGTCATTAACAAAGTCTAGTTTCTTGTTTGAGCATCGAGCAATCTTGATAATCAATCTATGTGTTTTGAATTCATTTGTTATCATTGCCATTGACACTTAACATGACATCAACACCACAACTTGATTCAAAAGGAGACTCTTATCTTGTTTTCACAAAGAACTTGAGTTAAAATAGACAATCTACTAATAATTTCAAAAGTGGTATTCCGTTCTTTATACACCTCTATATACACTGCTTGGGGTTTTCCAAACACGTGGATGTGTTAAAGATGCTCATTAGCCCCTCTTCTTGATCCAATAAAACTTTTTATTTCTTTGAAGACTTTTATCAAACACATGGTGTGTAATATGAAACCAACTCTATATGAACCTGATTATTTGAAAGATTTCACATACCCAAATCAAGCAATTCAAATTAGCAAAAAACAAAATTAGAAGGATTCCACATGCCCAAACTTACGTGATTATTATTCAATCATATTAGATGTTGAAAAAAAACAACATCTGATTTCAGGGAAGAACAAATTTCTTATACCTGTGGATGAAGTCGGCTGTGGATGAAGTCGGCAGTGGACGGAGGAGGAGGCATGCAGATGTCGTCTTGGGCTGTAACGTCCCGAAAATCATGACATAAAAATTTTTGTTTTTAGATTAATAAATCGTTAATACATTTCGTTCTCATAAAACCAAGGTAACCAAGAGTTAGCAAAAACATCATCAAATCAGAGTAATTCACAGAATGCGGAAACATGTGGTGTGTGCCCTACAATCGTCCCGAGCTCTCATTTGAAAACTGGAGTACCTGAAACATAAACTAAAAACCGTAAGCACAAAGCTTAGTGAGTTCCCCAAAATACCATATAACATACAATCACAGAATATCATGCACGATACATATAGTTGCCATGGGCTCCCCCCATGGTCTTGACCTGGAATGCCATGGGCTCCCCCACATGGTCTGATATCCAAGTGCCATGGGTTCCCCCCATGGTCTTTATTTGGAATGCCATGGGCTCCCCCATGGTCTGATATCCAATTGCCACGGGTCCCCCGGGGTATTCCATGCAAGTATCACAGAGACAACTAACATGCCACAAAACACGTAATGGGCCGGAATTGGTGCCTTCGACCCATGGATATAGTGAAAAGACTCACCTCACACTGCCGACTCAAACAGAATATCCCTGGCTAATGGATGACAGATCCCCGAACTAACAAAGTCAAAACAACACCCATTCAACAATTAGATTCCAATCCATAACCATAAATCCATTACTAGGGTAAATGACCAATTTACCCTTTAACTAGTTTGGACCAAGACTTAGGCCCAAACCTAATAATCCAAAAAGCCCAAATACCAACAACCAACCAAGGACCAACCCATGGCCCAATTTTCCAAATTAGGCCCAAACCTATTGTAGGCCTTCTCAAAATAATTATCAGCCCAAAAGAAACAACTCAGCCCAACCAAAGCCCATACCAAAAGAGTCCAAGTCCAAAAATGTCACAACCCCAAACCGGAACGGCGGAAACGTTCGGGGGCGGAGGACGTCATGCTCAGTATCACAACAAATGTAGAATAGTAAAACAAGCAACCACAACCATTACATTAGTATTAAAGTGTTTACAATGTATTCGATTCACAAAAGATTGACTTTAAAAGTAATTGACAAAACAAGGACATGAAGCTACTATGCTCCATCTTCTGAACCTCGGTGCGTATACATGTCTACTAGTTTCTTGAGAATACAAGTTATTTTGAAAGTATAGATCAGCATTTAAGCTGGTGAGTTCATAAGTATTTTTGTTAGAAAAGTTATACTCAATGTTCTTTAGAAAAGTTCGCCTGTTCCTCCAGAAAATCCTATATTTTCTGATATGATGCATAATAAGTAAAAATGACTCTTATAATTCCTTCTATGAGTACTAATGAATACAAGTTATATACAATCCATATTAAACAGACAATCGATTGCATGGATCTGCCCTAAGCCCACAACCAAACAAGGAACATGAAATGAGGCGGAAGTCACACATTCCATTGTTTGTTAGATCCTCATTGTATATAACCCTGACGTATTCATCAGGTGCTTACGGAGTTAACTGTAATAGTTATTTAATATTTGATGAAAATATTCCTTAAGAAAATCATATATTTTCTTTAGTAAAATGGTAACCACAATAATTCCTTCTATAATCACTTAGTTCATACTAGCTATATATAATCTAATATCGAACGAACAGTTAAATGTGTAAATCTGACCTAAGCCCACAACCAAACAAGGAACAAGAAGTAAGGTGGAAGTCACACATTTCACTGCCTATCAAATATTAATTATATATAACTCTGAGGTATAAACTAAGGAATTATAGAATTAACCATTTAAGGTCCTTTATGTTATACTAGTTTAATAAGAAGTATTAAACCTTTTATAAATAAGTTTATAGTTTCACTAACTCTATTGTGAAACATTGTTCTCAGTAATAAATGTTATTAATTTCAGAAAGTTCTATCGAAAACTGATTACCTTTAAATAACAATGTTTACCATAGAAAATCCTATATTTTCTAGAAAACCGACTGGTAGTCTTACTCGTTCCAAGACCGAAAAGTACAAGTATTTACTTTAATGATATCAAGTTCTGTGGATTAGTTAAACTGGCTGAAGATTTGTTTACCCTGAAAGCCTGATACGGCGATACTACCCTCCTATGATCACTTAATACATACGAGTTGTATATAACCGAGATCGAACAGACAGTTGAATGGGTGAATCTGCCCTAAGCCCACAACCAAACAAGGAACAGGAAATGAGGCGGAAGTCACACATTCCACTGTCTATCGGACTTCAGTTTTATCTAACCTTATTGTATATATACTGAGTACCATATAGTTAATATCCCTTGTGAAAGTTTAGGAAGAGTATATTACTACATAAATATATCGTTATTTCTCCTTGTGAGTTATATGACCATACTGATTGATATGACGAGAATCAGACGTCGATATTGTTTTATGACGTTTGTCACCCGCAGACCTGCCGGTCCAACTGTAGCTAACAGTAGAGGTGAAGGATTGTTAGTCCCATATAGATCTATACACAAACTCACACTCTCCCTCGGGGAGACTCTGGATCATAAAGGTGGACTTCTACTGGTACTTAAGTAAGTACCGAAGACGCGTCTCACAGACTAGATTAACGACTTTACAAGTAATAATGCGAAAACCTTTTTATAAACAACTGATAGTTTTGTAAAAAGATTCATATGATCCATAAACTATATTTATCATAGTTTATAAGTTTATTTCCATGTTTTAACAAGTTTCATGTTCTTAATCATATTGACAGCAAGATAATAGAATAAGTAAAATTACATTTATAAACACAAGATTTCTTGTGTTTTAATTGTATTTCCCCATAAAAAAAGCATTTAAAATCATTTAAAAAGGTATATTATAGGGGTATGAACTCACCTTATGTGAGTGACTCGATTGAAGACTGGAATAAGGATGTTATACTCACGAACAAAGTCCCGTAGCACAAATGAGTCCTAAATAGCATGTAAGGATACATATAGACATGGAATTAGTGAATCTAACTACAAAGGTGATTAGGAAACAACCTAGGATGCAATAATAACTCACCAAAGGAGTGTTATAAGCAATTTAGGAGGCTGAAAGGGAGTTCACGGCTGAGCTTGGAGGTGTTCACGGCCCATGAGGTGTTCACGGCCCAACTTCAGGGAAGAACACTTGAAGATCTTGTTGTTTAGTGAGTGTTTGAAGGCCTTTCATGGTATACCAAAGAGATGCAAAAGAAAAGGAGTGTTTAAGGGAAGAAAAGGGTGTTCTTGAGTATGATACTTGAGAGAGAATGGGGTGGTTCATGGCTAGAAGAATTAGAAGTGAAGAATTAATGGCTAAAACTCATATATATGGCATGAGTTCATGGCCTAAGGAGGGTTCACGACCGTGAACATGGTTTGCGGCTGTGAACCTCCTTTGATGAGGTTCCTGGCTCGGATGCATCTCTCATATCTCAAGTGTTCACTTCTTAACATACAATCCATAAAGTGTACTAGGCTTAGAAACTCATAATATAACCCTTAACAAAGTAAAAGATAACAAAAACAAGTCTGAACTCTTGATCGATTGGATTGACTTACAATAATAAAAAATTTC